TATGCACTCATGCATGCATATGCACACCTATACACGTGCGTACACACCTACACTCATACACACATACACACAGTTACACACTTACATGAACACACACGCACCAGAGAGGTGTCTGAATGTTAGAGACATCCTTACAATACAGGAAATGTGTAAAGAACACTTGCCGGAATCTCTGTTGATTCTGGACTGACAGTGAGAGAGGAGCAAGGGGAGGCATGAGGCGAAAAGATGGGGACAGGCGGTGTAACAGCAGAAGTCACAGAGCTGTGAGCTCTGGCTCCGCAGGTGTGTCTGTCCGTGAAAGCGTACTTACTGTTGAAGAGCTGCGACAGCGAGTCAAAGGCTTCTCCTGGCTCCAGACGAGGTTATTAGGTACAGAAGGCTAAGCTCCATTTTGCAAATCCACCCCAAGGTTTTAGAGCAACTTCTTTCCAGCCCTACGTCAGTGACTTCCATTGTGGGGATCTGTCGGAGAACCACAAGACCTGGGCCCCCACCTTTGCCCGGGGCTCCCCCAGGCTCTTTTGTACCAGAAGCCCTTCCTTGGGGCCCACCCAGCCTGCCCCGCCCCCTGCCCAGGGCTCCCACCACAGCCCTGTCCACGTGTGTGAACCCACACCACGTTGCCTCTGAAAACCAAACGAGGTGGCATGAACAAGGTGGCTCAGGATAAAAGCCAAGACAGAGGTGCCAGAGGCAAAGACATTTATGAGCATAAGCGTCTGGCCTTCTCAGCTCCTGCAACATGTCCCTGCAAAGCCCCAGCGGTGCTGGGGAAGCCTCCCCTGTGGGTTAGAGCCTTAAAACTGGGTGTCTCTTAACTGTGAGGCTGCAGGCACTAATGTCTTGGGAAAGTGAAAAATATTTCCTTTTTAAAAATACAAACAAGTAGTAACATTATATCACATATACATCATAATATGCAATATATTTGTCCAAATGACATTCGAGTTGGGGGCCACGTGGTTTTCAAAAATAAACAGATACAAATCATGCTACTTTTAATTTTACTCCCATAAGCCTAGATTTGACTTGATGGTCTGAGCACAGAGACGGAGAAGTTTTTTACATTATTTAGTACCTGGCGTTTTCTTTTTCTCTAGCTTTTCATGACGGAGGAGTTTCAGGCACACAGAGAAGGGAGACATCTTGTACAGCTCCCTCCCACCCACTCCCGAGACCCAGTAACTGCTAACATGTGTCGTATCAGCGTTATGTGTACACTCTGCTTTTGCTGAATCATTTGAAAACCAAGTTTCAAACATCAAGACATTGCAACCTTCAGCAGATCATCAGGCATCTCCTAAAACTGAGGTCATTCTTCTAGACGGGCAATCCGCTATTATCACACCTAATCACCTGAACAATAATTCTGCAACATCTTCAATACTCCGTCATGTGGAAATAGCCTCCAAACCCTTTCCCGCTGGTTAGCTGACCCAGGAGTCGATCAGGGTCCACGACTGTTGTTGCAAGTGTTGCTTCTTTTCAGCTGTTTTTATGCTAGACCTGTTCCCCCTCTCTCTCCGGCATTGACTTTCTGAGGAGACCGGGCCAGCTGGTACAGAACGCCCCGCTCTCCCGACTCGTCCGATCGCTCCTCCCCGGTGTCGTGTGCCTTGCTGTCTGAGCCCCTCCCCTAAGCCACAAGGGAAGGCTGCAGGCTTGGCCTTTGATTCAAGTGAAGCATTTGGAGCGGGAACACAGCATCGGGGATGCTGTGTGCTGGATTCTGCATCCCATAATCATCAGGCCGATTCATCATGAGTGATGCTCACTCAGTTCAGCAGACTCTCAGGGAGAGCTGGTTCTCTCCAGAGAAGCAGTAAGAGAATACGACCTCTAGGGGGCTGGGGGGGGGCACACAGGGCCCTCGGTCAGGGTCCAGTGTCCGGGCTCTAAGGCCCAGGGACGGGGCAGCAAGCAGGGGTGGGCCCTGGAC